AGTCCTTGTATCTAACGAGTAGATTCCAGATTCAGCTCTTCCATTTTGCCAATGCTCATATGGTGCGCTTCTTTCTAGGTGGATGTTGTGCTTCTCGTACATCTTCAGTGATTTCTTTGAAACCATTTCGCTCCCATTGTCAACTCGAATCACTTTGGGGTAGACCCCATTGTTGAATCTCGTGACAACAAGTCGTAACGATTTCCTGTAACCTTTCTTGCTCGCTAAACCTACAGGCATCTTGAATCCTGAGAAGTCGTCTTTCCAGAGTTGGAGGTACTTTGCTCCTTCGATCGAGCGGACTCGATAGGAGCCCATATCCCCATGCAGCCTGTGAAATCTGACATCGGATCTTTTGTGTCTGAATTTTGGTAATGGAGCTGCCTTGGTTTTCGCTCTGCGGCATGTGTGACATGTCGGCAGGGGTGTCTTTGGATTGATTCTCTTCAATTCCTCCATGCCTTCGATGTTTTCTGCCAGTTGGAAAAGGTATTTCTTGCCGATGTGGTTGGTTCTTACGTGCCACTTGAGCAGAATCGCTGATGCTCTTGTTCCTTTGATGCGTTCTCCCGTTGAATATAGGTAAATATTCTTGAGATCTGACTTGTCATTCTTCAATTGTTCTTCGTATTCCTTGTCGTTTTCGTCAAGTTCTTCGATCGTTGTGTTTGTGAAGTCGTCAAAATCTGTAAATGATCTTGGGTCGTTGAGATACTCCTTGGTTTGCTGTTGAATCTCTTCCGTCGTGAATTGTGAGTGTCTGACTCTTCTGACGTGTCTAATTCAGGTCTTGGAGTGTCTGACTCTTGGAGTGTCTGACTCTTCTGACGTGTTTAATTCAGGTCGTACATCTCGCATGCTGATAGGAAAGGTCTTCATGTGCGTGGGCTTGAAAGCTGTTGCCGAAGTTGTGCCGCTCTCCCCCTGCATCGCAGCTTGGTAGATGTGGATGCTTCCCCCCCAACGAGGTACCGGCGCTCTCCAGTCTTGCGCCGTGGATGATCAGGTGGATTCTGCGTTTTGATGTACTTTGTGTATTTGTCGTTTGTGTTGACTCCTTGATTGTTGCCGTGAGTGGTATTTCGCCTTCTTGAATTTCTCTGAGAATTGTGTCTTTATCCCAGATGGTTTTTGCTGATAGCTTGGAGATTATCTAATTGGTCTTCCTGTTGGGTCTTTGGATTTCGACGTACCATAGGTAGGTGCTTGGGCAGAAGTAGAAAGGTATAAATTCATTGTTGAGTGTAATGATTCCGTGTGCCAGATGGATAACAGGTTGATTTTAGCATTTTCGTCGCTGATTACTGTTGCTATAGTTGCAAATGCAAAACGTTTTCCTTCGATTGATGCTATCGTTCCTGCCAGGCTAGAATTCCTCCGAGCGATGTATTGATCTTGCTGCCCCCCACGCCGGTGATCTCAGTTTTGTGTGTAAACGATCTCTGTAACCAACTTGGATTGCAGAGTACGCTTACAGTTGCACCTGAGTCGACAATAGCGTACAGGGACTCTTGTTGTTCTTTCGCTTTTAACGCGTGTAGGAAAACTTGATACCGATCAGTGTTCCTGATCAGCAGTCTGGGTATTTGAAAGATGTATTCAAGGTACCATGGTTTTGAAACTTTTGAGAACAGAGCTGCATCAAGCTTGTGCAGCCTACTGGGTCTCTTCAGTTTTCGACCTGGTATCACTTTGATATACAACATAATTTTTAGAACAGGGATACTCCTTGGGAGATTTATTCTTTCTAGAACTGCGTCCTAGTGTGCCTCGGAACGTCTCTTGTACGACTTCTTTCAGTCGTTTCGGAGGTGTTCGAGATGAGGACGGTTCATCAGATTCTTCGTCATCACTGCTAGGTGATTCTTGAACTGATTCTTGGGTTTCAGTTTGGTCGGTAGAGGTGGCTTCTTGCAGTGCTTTTGTGAGGTTCACGAGGACCTTACTGTTTGCTTGTATTTTGACTTGGGGTACTGCCCGCTCTCCTCGTTTGAACGGTTTGGGTTCGACGAGCGATGACTCTTGGCGGTAAATTTTGCGGATCTTCCTGCCCTTGTCTGAAAACCGGTTGAAATCAGTGCTCCCTGTGATCCTCTTCATGGTTGGCGCTGTTTTATTGCCAGTGGCTCTTTCTCCGATCCTAGATGCGTCATGCTCGCTGGTAGCATGACTGAGAGAAATCCTTGCTGGAAGTCGTTTTTCTTTGCAGATTTTGCATCCAGTAAAGTTTTCTTGTTGTTGTCTCCTGATTTTCTGTGGTGTATTGTTTTGTTTGACGGAGGCTGAAAACACGGCGTTCGCCTTTCGTTTCTGACCTGAATGATGTGATTCTGTTGATTTCTTGCCAGAGCTTTCTTGTCCTGCTTGAAGGATAGGTATTGGGTGTTTCGTGCCTCTGGTAGTGAAGTTCATCATGTGTTGATGAAATTTCAAAAAATCTTCTATCTGGGGTTCTCCCTCGTAGAAGAAGTTTTCTTCCGTTGCGTTGCGATGGATTTGAGATGTTATCCAACTGCCTAGTTCTGCTTGAACGCCCGTTTCGTCGATTGCTCTGAGGTTGTCGACTAGTAACGTCTTTGAAAGCACGGGTGTAGATAAAAGTGCAGTCTTTGCCTTGTGAAGCAAATTTCTTCAAGGTCCTAACCACATTGGGGATGTAACTCTGGTAGTCTCCGTTGTAGATTACTGCTTGCTCTAGTTCTTTGAGATTGGCAAGGGTCTGCTCAGCTTTTGTTGCTTCGGTTGGCTTGTCTAGTCTTTTAAAGTCTGTCCATGCCTTGATCCCAGCTAAGCAAAGCTTTGTAGGAGTCTCAGGAGATTTGTGTTCTTCTTCCATGTGGGCTTTCAGAATCTGAATCCTGCCAGGGCATTGCATGTAAACAGTGTGGAGGATTTGCGTCAAAGCAGCATCTGCTTCTCGTACAAATTCTCTCCTTTTCTGTCTCATGTTCTCCTGTAATTCTTCTGACTGAGTATCTCTGATGGGGAAATGACAATCGAAGTAGGCTCTCATGTTTTCTGGATTCCCTTCAGAGTTGAGGTATGCATAGTATTGCCCTGTCAACTCGAACTGTATAAAGTTCTCGATATCTGGGTACTGCTGTAATCATCGAGTCCTGAGGCTGATTGATTCAATCAGCCTCAGGACGCGGCCATTGTAGACGGTATGGCGACATCTGTTCCTTTAACGCGAGGCTTTTATAACCTGATGCGGGTATAGTCCAGCAACTGAGCGATAGTGCACTTAGGAGTAGAACAGATGAACAATGAAGCTAGATTTGTTTATGTACAGCAGTAAGAGAACACACGTCAATGTTCGTGCAATCCCATTCCGATGACCGTGGCCAACGTCTAAGATGGGTTGCTTATATGTCGAGGTCAGGCTTAACCCGTAATACAGCAATGAGTAAACATGTGTATCGGTTTATACCAGCCTCATGCTTTCATCATACCAATGTGTTGTACGTACGTCTACGTCCAGTACACATCTTCGATTCTAGCATTATACACCTCGCCAGCGTACGTAGCCTCTTGCGACTACTCGCATGATGCTGCCATGTCCGTTACTGACGTAACGTCATGCGGGTGCAACATCACCTTCCAAGCCAAACAACGTCAAAACACTCCTCTGCTCTTTGCGGCAATCATTCAAAACGCCACAGCACGCTATCGCGGCTGCTTATACAACAAAAAACGCCTCTCCCGAACTCAATGGAAGCAGTTTGTTGACGCAATCGACATCACCTATCAATGGGCGACACAACTTCGACAAGTTAATCACTCAATGACCAACAAGTTTCTCAAGATCCTTCTTCTTTCCCCTCGTCATCACATGCGAAAGATCCGAAACAACTATAAATATATGTGTCCGTGGCATACCACTGTTTCTGATGAGTTGCTTGAAAAGTTATTCACAGTTTGAATAAAACTCATGCAACCATACTCTCAATAAATTTGATTTCAACTTGAACTTTTTAATCTCAAACATCTGTAACAAAGCCGAAGCCTCCCGATCGAAGGATTCGCTACCTTAATATTGACATAATGTTTAAGACTATTCAAAACATTTAAATATACGTCAATTGATCGGTCTTGTCTAATCTCATTCATAAGGAAATGCGTTATGCTCATTACATGCGACTTGAATTCATCTTTCAAATTTGGATCTACCATCATATCATTGAATTGTTGAATTTTTTCCTCTTGCTTTCTTCTTTCCCTTCTCGTAGCTTCCTCCCATTGCTCATGCTTTCTGGCTTCATTTTCATCCCTCTGCAATTTATCAAGCCTTTCTTGCAGGTCAGCAAATATTCTGAGTTGATCTGTTAGCTTGTTCGCAAGAAACTTCAACTCGTCTGTTGTTCCGATCTCTTTTATTCGATTAGCATTCTCATAAATTCCTTGGAAATCAATGCCATTTTTTGAAAGTTCGCCAAAAGACATATGTTGATTTGAAAATAAATTAATCAATTTTCTCAGTAAATTGTCTATAGTCCGAATCACAGATTGCAGGTCAGGGCCGCGCGAGGTTTTCTTTTTCTCATACACTGATGCAAGAAATAGAAATGTTTCTTGCACGAGTTGTTGCATCTCAATGGAAGGATTATTTTCACGCCTAAACTCTCTGTAGATGTCGTTGAGGTTTGATTCAAGTGGAGGCAACTCGAGATTCATTTCTATAGTTCAATCAACCTTCTCTTTAAATATATACAGTTAATTTGTTAAATGCCGCCCGTATATTTCTTGCCCCCGGGGGGGGGGGTATTTTTGGTACCATGCTAGGGTGGGGGAGGATGCTGGACTGATTCAACACCTACACGACGGGCTCCGGTAATCAGATTATGGTCATTCGTACCAAAGGAGAAAAAAAAAAGCCTGCATTCCCTGCAACTGGACTCGAACGATGCGATCTCGTCTTGCCACTGAATAAAGAACGAAGTAGAATCAAGATCAAGGTGGACAGTGCCCAGACCACAGCCTACTTGACGTTCAACTCTCAGTCAAAGAAGCTCTCCGAGATTACAAATATCGAGGTTGACGACATGTCCTTCACTGGCAACCTGGTTGGCCTTCTGGAACTGGGCAGCTGGGAACAGAATATCAAAGTACGCCGACATGGTGTCGCTCGGCACGGGGTGTCGGACCCTGATGTTCACGGTGCCGGTGCCATAGGATGAGGGCTTTTTGTCAGCTCCGACAGTCGCGTAATTGAAAGCCTTGCTAAGGGACAAGGAGATGAGCTTGCCGCCTAGCCCAAGGTTTAAAGCTCTTCGCTGCCGTCAGGCTTATAGCTCACGAGGAGGCCCGGTGGTGAGTGTGAGACGGTGAGTGAGAGTCATTCGGAAGTTCGAGTGAAGCAGCCTGGCCTTTGAATGACCTGCTCACCTGGCGATCGGACCGTGACCTCAACTCTGATGAAATATCATGCGCCATCATGATCGGACATATCCGGTAATGTGATATATGGCGGCAAAGGCTCCTCTTCGAGGAGAGCGACGAGCACCGGCTACTCTAGATGGGTCGTTGGTAAGCCCAACTCTGCCGCCGGCTCCAGATCACATTCGTCCGGCGTTTGTGGTCTTGTTCACCAGCTGGGAGTAAGAGGAAAGAAGCTCGTACGGAGTAGAGGCGAGAGTAATTTTTCGAATGAAATCAGAAAGCTTCTGCCACTCTCCTAGCCAATGATTATGACACTGTCATACTTCAGAATGCACTACTTCTGCATGAAGGAAAAGCAAAGCTTGTTACACTTGTTGATTGTGCTGTGTACAGGATTAGGGCCTGAGCGAGTCAAGGTCGCCCAGGGAGTATGGCCTGAGAGGGGCTAACGACAATTGGCTGATTCTTTCTGATTCGTAAAACAAATCTTATTATATCTGCAAAGTTTCTATCACCTTCTCCTTGAGCTGATCCAAATCGTGATCCTTGAGCATTCGCTGTAGACGTCTGCAGCCCGTAAAGCTTCGGGGTGCGACAGGGCTCTAACGGCTAAACTCGAAGACGTGAGGAGCTTCATCAACCCTGGTGGTTCCCCTCGACTATAAAAGAATCAACAGCTGCTAAGGTGGTCTGTCCTTGCCCTGTGTGTGCCACGCAAGGTAGGTGTCATCATACATTCAAGTCAGTTTTCAGCTCGAATTCACCGTCGCCTCAGTCTTGTGTCTGCTTACTGCTGCTCATACTTAAATGTTGACCAGAGGCCGAAATCCGCTTTTTCCTGGATTGCACGAACGAAGGTCAAGACGAGCAGACAGCTTCAAATATTTCGATGTACATCTTCTGATACGCCGCGGGTGTACCACGAACCAAGAAGCTGCTTGTGATCACGAGGAGAAGGAAACAAGACAAGTTGACACAAGTCGAGTCTGTTACGCCTACTAAAACAATCACTCAACTGATCCTCAAGTCACTCAACTTGAGGGGGATGTGGGGATGGGAGGCAAATGGTTTTCCCCCAGAGTACTCCATTACTTCCCGCAAGTGTAAAATTATTTTATTCGAAAATACTTGGTTTCAACTCGGTGTGATATGGGTTTAATTATTAAAGGCTTTCAAATGGTATGCTTTCGTCTATTGATCATCAGATCTGTCAGCAATCAGGTCAGCATTCCTTCAGCGAACGTCTCGTGCTAACGTCGAAGGATCCGAAAGTAGTAAAAGAGCAACGCTTCACATCTTTGTATTTTAGCAGGAGACAGATCATATGACCCACCCACCCCCCCACCCCCGTTCCTCAGGCTTTAAACTTTACCTACACCCCCCGTTCAAACTGATTTCACCCACCCCTTGCTAGCAGGTAACTCCTTCGCGATCCGAGTACCCACCAAGCCGGACCTTCGGAATCACCTTCAACCACCCCGGTCATACCCTGCTACATGGGGTTCACGGACCCCACCCTACTCCAGTTAGTTACTACCGTCCCCTCCTCCCCGCAAGAAGAAATATCTGACTTGGGGACCCTCGGGACCCTCAGGAGCTAAGGACCCTGTCTTTCCCCTTCGACTACCCTACTCTTCAGTGGTTCCCATTGCGAGTATCTCAGCCAGGGAGCATGTCTGACCTTGTCACCCCACTCCAATGCACCACCCCCCCCTAACCACCACCTACAGACTGGTACCCTCATATTGCATTGAGCTGCAGACTTGCAAATGGCGCGGCTGCTTTTGCTGCCTCTGTCATGCAGTGCTGTATGCCTGACCGGCTGTTCATCGCATTTCAATGTCATGATATGACGTCATACTCGGCTAGATCGTTCTTTACAGTTTCTAGGGTGTTGCAGACCTTTGGAATGCAGGATGATATTTGACGTCACCTTTTGCCATGTCATTGCAAAGCGCATATCCTGACCTAAGCTTATACAGATTTGATCTGACATGATGCTATTTGCAGGAATCAAATTCGATTTGATTTCAGTTCTCTTTCTGGCCGTGATACAGAATGGAAGAGGCTTGACATCAATTATCCCATAACCACCTGATGGCGAGAGAAGGTATCAACAAGGGAACGACGAGATTGCGTCTCATAGTGAGAGAAGCAAAGAATCTTTACCGATCCTCAAATGCTCCGGTAAAACTCATATTTCGAAACTCCATTTGTAAGTTGATTGCAATAGTGCAATGCATCCTGTTTGGTTCGATTGTTCTCCAAGAACAGTGGAATTTATCAGGAGAGGGATGAAGATGAATACACACGTTCAATCTTCCGTAAATTTACCATTCTTGAATATTGCTATTCCAACGTTGTGCTACAGGTAGCGCTGTTGAGCTTGAAACTTCTAATCCCTTATGGAATCAAGTCTGTGAATGGGACATGGTAGTAAATGCTTGCAGTCTATTTGTTTTTCATCCTGACCTCAGTGTCCAGGACGGCAAAGAAAATGCCATGATAGAAATTTCGTTGTGGGATAGTGGGGCTCTACCTGAACATGGGAATTTGTCTCTGTGCATTGGTCAGGCCGTGATTAATGTTGCTAAGCTCTCGTGAGACCATGCCACATCCGCGTTAGAAGTACTCATACATGTCAGGTTTCCAATGCATGCCAAAAGGTACGAGCTTGATGTGCATGTCCGTCGATCTTTTGCTTCCCCAAAGGTAAAATGATTGCATCGGCAAATCAAACGGCTCATCTTCCATGTAGGCAAAGGTTTTGGTTGAGATAGATTACAGTTTGTTTCCATCGGACGGGGGTATATCCTTGCAGCATGTTTTTCTGTACTTTCTAATACTGAGATCGTAGGAGAAAATGCAAAGAACATGCTCAAACTGCCACGAGATGAGTTTTCTCACTCTCAGAAAAGGTTTGAATCAAATTGCTTTGTTTCGTATAAGAGTTGTGTGCAGTGGCGAATTTGAGGATGTGGGCTCAATTCAAAGTGACAAAGCCTCTGATGACTCCCATTCATCACCGATAGAGCAAGCAAGTGAAATTGACCGTTCCTACTTGGACTGCGAAACTCCACACGATTCTGTATCTCCGGAGAAGAGGGCAGCAGAACAGATAAGCTCGTTATTTCAGTATCATGCAGCTCATCACATGGACGACGCGCATCATGTGAATCATTTGAATTCCAGTGCTGAGAAAGAGTTTTCTCCTAAAAGACTTTCCAAGACTCAGAACTCGGATGGTAGCAAAACTGTAGATCAAAAATCTTTCACAAGCATGTTTCAACTTGCTCAGCTTGAAAAGGAAGATTTTGGTTCTGATGAAGTATCTGTTGGACTTGCTCTGACCGACTCAAAGCAAAAAGATTCCAAATTAATAGCTGAGTCAGAGCAAGGTAATCCACAAGAGTCAAACACACAAAATGAGCAAGAGAATATTTCTCCAGAAGAATTGAGACGAAAAGCAGTCATATCTCAATTCCTAAGAGAGGGAAGAAGAATCAAGCTTTTTGAAGAAATTTCAGATGATTTCTTTTTCAGATTGTGTCAAAGATTGAAACTTGTATCATATGAAACTGAGGAGAGGATTGTTGAGGCCGGAACACCAGGGACTTCTGTATATTTCATCGTTTCCGGACAGTGTGCCGTTGCCATAAGCGGAAAAGTCGTCGCCAAATTGAATGCTGGTGACTATTTTGGAGAGGTTGCGATGCTGCTTTCAGAAACTCGGACAGCAGACATTTTCTCGTTGACGAATTGTGAACTGCTTGAGTTGACCAACACTGATCTGTGGGATGTGATCAACGAATATCCAACTTCTGGAAACCACATGTACATGAGTTTAAAACGAACTGCAGTCGCTAGCATGAAAAGAAACATCGGTGCAATGTGCGTCGTAGAAAGCCATCCGAGCGCCATGGAAAGCAACATGGACCCTTTGAGTGCATTGAATTCAACGGACAGAAGACGAAGAGTCGCCCAATGGCGTGAAATCTACGAATCTGATAAGCCGATCCCGGACCAAATATCAGAATTCCCGGATGTCGTAGATGACAGCGTCGATCCCATGGCAGAGGCCATGAAAATATCTGGGGTGGGGCAACAAGTTGTGAATGTGATTAGGAACATGAAACTCTTTATCGGAGCTCCATTACGTGCGCAAGCACAGGTTGTAGCCAGGTTGAAAAGTATCATTTATGAACAGGGGGACACAATCATTCAGGCTGGTGATATTGGAACTTGCATGTACATTATCAACAATGGTAAAGCTGAAGTGATTGTCGACGATAAAAGAGTGGCAGAGCTTGCAACTGGCACTTTCTTCGGTGAAGTCGCTCTGATGGGAAATCAGAAACGCACCGCCACCGTCAAGGCGATGACCAAATGTGAGCTGCTTCAGCTTGACCAAGATGACGTGTGGACAGTTTTCAACATGTTTCCCTCTATGTACAAAACTTTAACCGAAGTGGCTGAGGCTAGAATCAAGAAAGCTCAGCAAGAATTCGAGAGTCCAGATCCCAATTCAAAAAGTTCAGAAAATGACACGTGGAAGGACAAATTGCGCAAACAGAAGAGAGGAATCTTCAGAGTCAAATTCCGTGCTCCGTTCGACAAATTCACTCCTGAAGAGATTGGATCTACACAAAGACTTTCCTTCTCCGCGACATTCAGTCACGTGAAGGTGATGATCCCTGTTTCTAAGGAGGACTCCTATTCTTTTACCATCAGCAGAGAAGACGAAGTGATTTACAGCTCTCCTGTCATACGTGCTCTTCAGCCTGCATGGCCTGCAAGAGTCGATTTGCAGCAAAGATTTGACTACGAAAACGACAAGTTTTTGATTTTTCGTCTGATTCAGAATAATCGTAAAGTCTTCAATACTTCAAAGACTGTCTGTGTAGGAACAGCGAACATCAACCTGGCAAGTGTCTTGTCAGCATCTGACCGAAGATCTGAGCAGACATTTGATCTCTACGAAGATGACAACTCGAGAGAGAGGAAGAGCACTTCGATCTTTGGCAAAGTACAGGCTTCAATGCACATTTCAAGACCAAAACAAGAACCTTACGTCATCTTCGTGCCAATATTTCGTGACAAAGAAATTATGCCCATCACAGATCACACAGGAAGGAAGATCATGCTTGTGAGGTGGAGGAACGTCATGGACGTCGATGTCGACTCCTCTGCAAGGTGCAAGCTGATCACGCTGATAGACATCGGGGGGTTGGATGGAAGCTACAAGGGGCAAGTCGCGACCGAAGTGACGCTCGGCTCCCACGCTCGCAGCCGCCTCAGCAACCATTTCGACATCCACTGGGCGACGGTGAAGACGAAGCTGCAGGTGCGAGGGAAAGGGGTCGCGTCCACCAAGACCGTGCCGAAGAATCTGCACGGGATGGATGTGACGCCAGTCTCCAAGTTCAAGGTCGTCCCAACCTTCCAGGAGTACGTCATGAGCAACTCAGGCGCCAAAGGAAAGATGGTTCGATCCTTCAGCCTCAGGCACAAGTTGGCCGACGAGGACGCGATGATGGGGTGCCGCTATCATGCGATCTGATCGCTTCCTGACCCGCGTGCAGGTGCATCACTCTGGGTCCCCGCGAGAGCACCTGGGTGAGGGTAGAGGTGATGCCTGGACAAGACGCTCTTCGTCTGATACAGGTCCTTGCCTCATGCTGCCAAACTCTTCACCTCTTGTCACTTGTCTCTTCCTTGATCTCATACACCTCTCCCTCCCCCCTGCTTCATCTCACTGGTTCCCTTGCGTAGGCTGCGGTTGGACTTTCCGAGTCACAACGACTCGCTCCGCTCCCTGGCTCGCACACCTGGATGGACGGCAAACGAACTTCCAAACATCTTTTGCCAGACACGTTTGATAACAACTACAGCAGCTGATGCTGCTGCTTAACTGCACAGCCCGCCTCAGCACACTAGAAGACTCGACCGCTCGAGTTGGACAGGAGGTCGAAGGCAGTGCCTGTGACGCGATCATCGCACGTCTCCTCCTACTTCCGCTCACCGTAAGTGGTGGTGAAGTTGCTGCTCGACCGAGTTGACTATGACAGCAAGTCACTGATATCCCTTGCGCTCCTTTCCACTTCCTCTCCCCCTCCCCCGCTCCCTTGAGCTAAACTTGTTTCTACTCTACCTTGGAATCCCCAAGCCGCACGTAGCTCCTTGTCTTGCTCGAGTGGGTCGCATGTGACCTGCCGCCGCGTCACCTTCACGCCCGGTCGCGTCCTCCTCCCCCAGACTCCACCTGTGAAAATTGTTCCCGTGCTGTCGGAGGGAGACCCTGACTGAGCTGCCAGTGAGGAGGGAGGGAGCAAGGAGGAGGCGGACATACCTGGAATGTGTGCAAGAGTATCGTTGATCTCTTCGTCCAGCCGAAGTTCCATGGCCTACATGCCGTCACAGCCCCTTCGCTCCCTGCCGCTCTCACCGTCCGAGGGCGAGCGAGCGGGAGCATGTGCACGTCTGCTGCACAACATCAGAAACGCAAAGAAGACCATGGGACGAACCTGATGGCAACTTGTGCGACGTGACATTGTCATGGAAGCTGATGCGGATAGGACCTGTGACATAGTAGCACATCAGTAGATTACCTTCCCCTCCCTTCCACCCCAAATCCCCACACCCCCGCCTTCCCTTCCGCCGCCTCCTCCTCTTTCTCGTCATAGCGCTTGTCCATAACCTCAACTTCTTCCCCCTCTTCCCCCCTCAGCTCTCTCTCACTGTCGAAGGCTCACCAGCAGAGCATGGCATCGGGTAAGATTGCTTCCACTGCTTGCGGATATGCTGGAAGAACGTCAACGGTCGATCCTTGCCCCTCCTCCTCGCGCCTCCTCCTCCTCCTCCTCCTCCTCCTCCTCCTCCTCCACTACCACAACAACAACCTGTGCTATTGCGTTCATGTCCAACCTCGACGGATGGTCCTGAGAGGACTCCTCGCCATCAGCTGCAGACTGTCAGTCGGAGGACAGGTTTCAGGTTCCTCACCTCCAGTGCTCTTGGGGGGAGGCATCGTGAGCATGGCTGAGGATGACTGCAGGACAGCAATTTGAGGAGATGTGAGACGAGGAAGGAGGAGGAGACGGGAATTGAGCAGAGCAGAGCAGAGCAGAGCAGAGCAGAGCAGAGCAGAGCAGAGCAGAGCAGAGCAGAGCAGAGCAGAGCAGAGCAGAGCAGAGCAGAGGAAGGATGGTCGAACTTGATTGGCGAGAGATAAGACCCTGTCGCTATGACCGAAGAAGCCACGAACAAGCATGGAAACATCAACCTGCTCAATAGTCACAAGAATAGAAGAAGGGCAGGTAGACAGAGAGAGGGAGAGAGGGAGAGAGGGAGAAAGGGAGACAGGAAGGGAGAGGGGGAGAGGAGAGGGAGAAGGAAGGGAGAGGAGAATTTCACGAGAAGGCATCAGAGGGCTGCTGTCTCACCATTCCGATTGAGTTTGAAATGAGGAGCTTCAGAAGACTGCAGTGAGTCAGTCCTTGGACAAGCTGCTGAGAGTTCTCTCTTCACCCCTCGATCTCTTGCTCTTCCAAGTCCACTCGTAGCTGCTCCAGGAGCATCCTACTCGTCGCTCTCAGAGACCAGCGAGCAAGACGCAAAGAGGGAGGAAGAAGCAGGAGGTGAAAGGTAGAGGGAGGAGGAAGGAGGAAGGAGGAAGAGCAAATGAGGAAGCGGAAGAGGAAGAGGAAGAGGAAGAGGACCGGAATTGGACAGGGTCGATAAATCCTGTTCTGTTCTTGTCGAAGAACGCCATTGCTTGCTGGGCAGATCGGAACATGCTTCTTCCTTCTCAGTGTCACGCTCCATCCTCTCGTCGTCTCACCTTCCAAGTTTGGGTTGCACCATGCCGAGCAACTCCGTGTAAGGCAAGCTACGAGCCGACGTGAGAAGAGTGGGGAGGGGAGGGGAGTGAGTCAAGGAGAGGAGGGAGAGGAGAAGGGAGGAAGTCAAGGAAGGGAGGGAGAAGAAGCGGGGGAACCATCGGGAGTGTAGAGATGCAGGAAGAGTTCAAGGAGAGGAGAGGAAGAGAATTGCTGAACATGATCATTCCAACCTTTTCGAGCCCAGCGGCATCTGGTCTGAAGTGACAACTCCTTGCTGTCAGCTTTTCAAACTCTCTAACTTGACTCCGTCCACGTCAAACTCGCACCTTGAGCCGGTCGATCAGCCGGCGGAGACGTTCCCAGTCAATCTCTCCTGTACCTGTCGGAAACGGATGAAGGGAGTGAGAGGATGTCAGCGAGAGAGAAAGGAGAGGAGGAAGAAGAGAAGCGAGAAAGAGGGAGAGGAGGAGGGGAGAAGGGAGATCGAGGGGGAGAAATGAAGTTTGAAAGGTAGAGGGTGGCATTGAAGTTCAACAGGGAATGAGAACTGGTTACCAGACTTGTCCAGAGCTGCGATGCAGATATTCACTTTGTCCATCTCTTGGCCGCTCGGCTGCAGCATCTCAACATCAGCAAGATTATGAATATGAGAGAGAGAACCAAATGAGGAATGGAACACAAGATGGCATGGCAGGATGAGATTTTCAAGATAGCAACACAATCCCAGACATAGAAAGGACAGAAGGAGAGGAGAGGAGAGGAGAGGAGAGGAGAGGAGAGGAGAGGAGAGGCGTAGAGGGGAGGCAGAGGAGGAGAGGAGCGGAGTGGGTATCGAAGCGGAGTGGTCAGCCCCGAGGCCTTACGTTCAGATCTAGGAGCATGGCCTTGAGCTGTAACGAAGGGATGAAACCCCTGGAGCCCCAAGTCAACATCGGAGAACATGTTCAGCTGAGATTGACTTGTTATCCTCCAATTTCGCCAGGAGCTCTAGAGTGCCGACCGCGTTGTCTTGTTGTAGGACCTGCCGCAGGACAAACTCGAGAACTTGTGTGTTTCCCAGCCTGAGAAGGGGAGGCTGTTATGACTCATAACCGTATCGCAAGGGAGGATTCCTTCGTTGCCGCACAAACGAGTCCGGAAGAGTTGAAGCGTTGACTCGACTGCCTGATGCAACGTCATCATTCTTGAGTGATTGATATCGTGATGAATCATCATCGTCGTCGTAGTCGTCATCATTTCCATCATCATTATCATCATTATCATCATCATTATCATCATTTCCATCATCATTATCATCATCATTTTCATCATTTTCATCATCATTTTCATCATTAACCCTTTGTTTACATCGACATTGTTCATTCTGGAGTCTGCTTCCACTCTACGTTCTCCTATTTACTATCATCTCACCTGGTCGACTCTGAGGCTCCGACTCGTTCTCGTTGCTGCCGTGCGCCGAAACATCAGCAGGAGGGTGAACGGGCCAGCAGCCCAAGACCGTCTCACCCTATGGCAGGATCAGATGACAACATCCCCATCTCTCCTCTACCTCCTCCTCCCTTTCTCTTCCCTCTCCTCCTCACTTGATCATACCCTTACTCCTTTCTTCACCATCTCCCCTCTCCCTCTTTCTCACTGACTCCTCCTCTATCCCTCCTCCTTTCACTCGTCTCCCTTACTTTGCATGCTCATCTCCATATCCCGCATTTGTCCCCGGTACTTCTGATCATCCAGATGAGAAGGCGGCTGAGTGTTGATTGGACTAGGACCAGAAGGAGGACGAGAAGCAAGAGAGGACGACAAGAGAATGATAACAGCAGAGGGAAAAGAAAGAGGAGGAGGAGGAGGAGGAGGAGGAGGAGGAGGAGGAGGAGGAGCAGCAGCAGCAGTAGCGAAGGCGACGGCATCAGGATGGAGGTGGAGGAGATGGATTGCCTTCAACGATGATGAGTTAGAAAAAGTCTGAAACTGACGTTCGGCGTCTTCAAAGGCTGTCAGAGTGTTCTTGGAGTAGGTCGCTCCCACGAGGTTTGAAGCTTTCATGCCTGACGGGAGACAGATTGGTAAGATGGCGAACACAAAGAATTGAAAGGAGAGAGTTTGGGGTTTGGTAAGCAAGGAGCAGGAGCAGGAGCAGGAGCAGGAGCAGGAGCAGGAGCAGGAGCAGGAGCAGGGGGTTACAAACATGGGATGAATCCGCTGTAACCAGGGATATGATGCTTTTTCCCAAACCTGCAGAGCTCAATCAACAAGAGAGCCGTGACATGCAAACTTTCACTCACCAGGGACACATCCTCTTCTGCTCCTCGTGAAAGTCGTGCTTTGATATGGCACGCTGTGGAGGCTCGTCAACATGAGGAGGAGAACTCAGTTTGGGAGGAGGTCGACACGGGACGGAAGGTGCTCGAATGTGATGGGAACCTTGTCGAAGATAGAGTAGTAATCGTACCTTGTCGAAGATAGAGTAGTAATCGTACTTGTCGTCGCCATTCTCAGTGTCCTCTTGAGACATCTGTATGCAATCAACGTCATCGCGCGGTTAGACCTGCCATGGCACGACATTGTTCGTTGCGTTACGAAAGAAGCTGAAGTTCTTCACGACAAGTCAGAACTATCGGGGGAGCTGCTCCCGACAGACCTGCGTCTCTAATTTCCTCGCCCACTGCATCTGAGCTGATAGAGCTCCTGCATAGCCCGGAAGAGCTCCGAGCTGAAATTTCTCTCCTCGCCTCTGCCGAACCTGTCCACCTCCTTGTCTCCATCACAGCAAGAGACTTACCTGAGGTCCAGACTTGTTCAACGAATCGTCCGCGGCGTCACCTTGGAGTTCTGCTAACTTCCCTATCGTTCCTCCAAACTTGTTCTCGCTGGTGATCCCCTGCAGGTAACCTGAATACCTGTTCCCCGCAATCAGACTTTCCGGACCCTCTCTTCGCTCATCGCAGCCGTACCCAGGCATTGGATGAAACGCCTCTTCCTTCACGTTGTTGGTTCCCCTGATCGGCACTTGCATCCCTCCGACTGATATTGAAGCCGCTTCTCATGTTGGTCAATTCAAACGTCATAGAAAGACAAGAGGTCTACTGGAAAATCGGGTGACATTTGGGCTTTTCCCACCGTCCTTTCCCTGAAGCTAGACCTTAGCCGTTCATCAACATTCGCTCCTTTTGTAACCCTCACCTGTGAACCGGTTTCATGGTTGCCAAGATCGCTGAGTGTAGACATCTCCATCATTATTCCCGCGTCTGCCCAGGTCTGAAAATTGTTAGCAGAGATCACTTTCAACACCCGACTCCAGCTCCAAGCAGATGCTTCTTCGTCAAGTTCACTCTCAGGCTATCACAAATGTACTGTAGCACTTGACTGCCAGTGACTCTACTGACTCGCATCTCCTCCTCTATCCCTCCCAACGCTTTCCCTTTTCCTCCTCTTAGAGCTCTCAACTGCCCCTTTTTTTTCCCTAGGGTTTGACTACCCCAAGTCAGAGAGAGGATCGGACTCAGTGAACGCCGGGCCCCGGGCCCGGCATCCCGGGCCTCCCGAGTCCGGCGACTCGAGTCGGAGAGTCCGGCCAAGCGTCATACGTCGCTGGGCCCGGGCCCGCTCCAATGCGCTTTACGCCCCAAAGCGCTACCGGCCCTACCACCGTTAGGGACCCGTACCTTTGACCTCCTCCGACCTCATTGGTACCCCACCCTTACAACTAATGTAACAATTCTAAAATCCTCTACCCCACCTGCTAGGGCGCTCGTTAACAACTTTAGTACCTAACTATGACCCCCCCCTACCCAATCTGATGACCAACAGCCGCTGATAGTTTCACGACAATAATAAGTTCTCGCCGGTAGAGCTTGCATGCCGTTACGCTACTCCCGCTACTGCGATCAGTCACTAGCAACGCCATCACAAGCGACATGCAGTCGATTCTCTCTCACGACATCTGAGCATCTATGCAGCAGATGCTTCAATGCTTGCACATAGAGGGAGGGAGCGACTCGGGAAGTGGGCACTGAGGATAGGGGAGGGGAGGAAGAGGAAGAGGGACGGGACAGATGTTGACAGAGAAAGTCTGATAGGGGAGGAGGGAGGAAGGCAAGCATGGCGACTGACACAAGACAGAGAAAAGTGACAGGGATAGCAGAGAGTGATACCAAAGGCATTTGCAGCGGAAGGGTCGTGAGCAACTTCATCCCATTCACAGTTCAAGGATTAACCATTCAAATTGTTCAATTGATATCCACAGAACAAACGAAAAATATCTAACCCATGTTGTCAGATACTGCTATGTTCTCCTCACAACCCCCGTCCCCCGATGTCATGGCTAGGATATCAAATTCATCCAGGCCGAGTTCAATATCATCAGAAAAAAGTTCATCGCAATATTCCAGGCATGGTGGAGCGCCAAGTGGCGCAAAGAAGACAGCCGACGAATCGAAACTCACTAATCAGTTGAAATTATTCTTCTCGCATGTGAACCCAGAGAAAGTTTCAGTCGCATCGAAATTGATCCTGAAATATTACGGCAACGAGAACTTGCTCAATCATGCCCTCAAGGAAAAATATGGATTGGATCTTTCGAATTCTGCAGATGAGGTGATTTTCAGGCAAATGTGATCTTTCGTTTGAATACTTTACTCAGATAATTGAGCGAGGAGAAATGAATCGCAGGAAGGAGAAAAGCTCGAGCGAAATACATTTCTTTCAGGACGTCCAAGGTGACTTACGGAGTCTACTATGCTGATGCGTCCTCACGAAATGCAACAGAGACAACAACCATTGATAGCTTTCTTATGACCCCTCCCTTGAAGTCAAGCTCATGTAAATTCTCCTCAACTCTCATTCGTGTGGCACTGAATAAAGTTGCAGTGGAGGAGTTGGCTGTTCCAGATTTGGCGAATGAGGCTTCTGAGCGGGAAGACGTAAACTTTGAACAAAATGTCCTAGGAGAGCTTTCGCTGACTGAGGAGGTTGTTGACATCGTACTGTTCGTCATGTTGACTTCTCTTGAAACCAGGAGTACACTGCTGTGAGTCTCTATGTGAAGACAGACGAAAACGCTGAACCGACACGGGTAAAAAGACGTCAAGTATCCTTTCTCTAGCTGACTTGGCTGTTTACAGATCAATGTTCCTGTCCTTGTGAATGCAGCGAAAAGTGAGAGAAGGTGATGGCCAGCCATTCGACAAGTCGAATGATTAACAGGCGTCTGCAGCAACAACGTGGAGGTTTTGAGGGGTCAGGCGAGCAGGTCTCGTCAGTCCTGATCCTTTCATCCTTGACTCCCCGTTGCAGATTCGCTGCGCTCGAGCTGCCTGAGACTCGGATACCCAACCGACGCTGTCAGAACCTCCCACGCCCCTTCTCGTGCGCGTGCGGGTCTGTCAAGGTCACTCTCTTGGCTCCTCCCGACTACGCGATCCGCTGCCACTGCGAGACCTGTCGCGAGATGCATCAGGTCCCGCGCCTGCCGTTGGCCCTGCGACACTAACAGACTGCAGGAGGCCAGCGTGGGGCTTGTCTTGTATTTGGATCCAGCAAACGTGGTGTGCAAAGAAGGAAACGAAAGTTTGACGGAGTACCGGTATCACCTCGCTGTCTAATCTAATCATGACCAAACATTCCCAAGGAGAGACAAGGACACCAATCAACTCTCCTACAGAAAGTTTTTCTGCTCCGCTTGTGGCTTTCTGTGTTGGAGTTTGGACAAGGTAAGCGAGAACACCTCACTTCTAGGGAAACTTGTTTAAAGGTTTCGAATAGTTTGGCCGAGCAAGGATTCCTTGTGAAAATTTGAGGAGCAAAGACTCAAGCGTCCTCGACTCAGACTTTGATCCATCCTGTCACTGCAACTATTCGCAGGTTGTCCATTTGCAAATATCAGTGATCTTCGCCCTTGCATGGTTTTGACATGTTCCAAACCCTTTGCAGTTTGTCGAATCATGCCAGGACAACTTAGTGAAGTACGAAGACTTTCCTCAGTTCCTGGGAGGATCAGGAAAACGATTTGAATTCCAAACACAACATATGGAGAAAGAAAATTGAAGACTGGGTTGAAAATGTTTAATGAAATATCTCCTCGAAGGTATTTGAATTTTGTTTGATTCTGAGACTCATCATCGCTCTGCAAGCTCATGAAAGCGCCGAGACCTTCTCGTTAGCGGAAAGCGAAGATTTACTTCTCCTGTCTTCGCTCCTTCGTTACTTATCCTTTCTTCGCTCCTTCATCACTTCTGCTTTCTTCGCTCCTTCATGTCATATTCAATTATCCTATTGCATCCTGAAAAAAGCTGCAACGAATGTCAAGACGTAAAACATACACACTCGCCCTTGCCTGCAGTAGATTGATGTATTGCTTGATTACAGCTCCTGGCAAGCAAAGATAGAATACGCCCATGATCAACGGCATGGCCTACAGCACAAGCTCATCTTCGGGTATCGTCTGCACCCTCCAACCTACCCATCCCAAGGTTGCCTTGATCTGCTGCTCATAATGAATGAGGTAGCACATGACAAAGAAAGTCTCGTTGAGGAGGCACAGGAAGAAGAGAACCTGCCAGCTACATCAACCAGACTGTTGGAGCCTGCCCAGGGTTAGACAACCATTCTCTTGTGGTAATACAGCTTGAGTAACCAATGTTCGTTTTCTGAAAGCTGAACGAACAAAGTTTTAGTCTCATCACAAACACTTGCTGACAACTCACCTCTTTGTGACTTGACGTTCCTGCCAACAGCTACTCCAACAAGTTAGAATGTTGGAAGCCAAGTTTCGAACTCCACCTGACTGTAGACGTGGCAGTAATGGGAGGCAAGATCCAAAGAGAGTAGGACGAAGAACAGAAATGCATAGTTGTTCATATACAAGTGACTGCATGAAAATGAGAGGAGATTCCAGACGTGCAAATGTCTTACGCCAACAACCCTAACAAACACGCCGTGCAACATCTGTCCGTGACCTACCAACGACTGTTTACCCCGTTTCTCAATCTCTAGCGAGCTTTCATACCATGTCAAGCATCTGACCGAACCTTGTCGCTTGATTAAAATGACGAGCAGCAAGTCCATCCAGACAGTCAAGAAAATATGATACAAAATAAAAGCTTGAGCGAACAGTCAGCAAACGACTGCGAAGACAGTCTGTGTACCCAAAAAATAACTTCCAATCTTCGCAGAAATAAAAAGCGAGCAATCCTGTTGCAATACGTATATATCTGTATCGACATTCGGGTGGAGAGAAGATCAGAATAAATCTAATACAGATCTGCACAACTTACCCGATAACGTTGGGAACAAACAGATGAATGTTCTCCATCGTGTGCGCGGATCCTAGAAATGAATTACATGCCACTTCATTCATTTATGCCCAGATGCTCAACTACGACTTTCTGGCATTCCATTTTTGTTTGCGTATCTAAAACTATTCTCTTATGCTTGCATGCTTGTAGTGAGTCCCTGTTCATATCGGTCTTCCGTCAGCTTGTTGTTCTTCCTTCCTTCCTTCCTTCCTTCCTTCCTTCCTCACTACTGACTGACTGACTGACTGACTGACTGACTGACTGACTGACTGACTGACTGACTGACTGACTGACTGACTGACTGACTGACTGACTGACTGACTGACTGACTGACTGACTGACTGACTGACTGACTGACTGACTGACTGACTGACTGACTGACTGACTGACTGACTGACTGACTGACTGACTGACTGACTGACTGACTGACTGACTGACTGACTGACTGACTGACTGACTGACTGACTACTTGCCATCTTCCTCTCTTCCTTTATTCTATCGGGTAAATATCGCCACATCGGCATGGTTCTCGTGTTCCCCTACTTCGCCAATTTCCCCATACACATAACGTCTTTGTAACCGTCTTTGACCATAGTAAAAAGAATCTCCGTTGTTTCCGTTTCTTTTACAAGTCCATTTGGCCGATGCGGCCGTTGCGTGCGGTTTCCAGTCCCACAAAGCGCCCAATGCTCGGATTCCTTGGTTTCATGATGCTGCAGAGCCTGGGAGGGGGAGGGGGAGGGGCAGGAGGGGCAGGAGGGGCAGGAGTCTCATCGATAGCTCATGCACCGTATGTCGCTGTGGTTACTGGAGGTGCAAGGGGATTGGGAAAAGCAATCGTAAGCGAGCTAGGAAGGAGAGGATATTTTGTGATAGACACAAGGAGAACAATCGAGACAGAAAGAAGCATTGAAACCAGTGGAAAGGTTTGGTATGGACTAGACATGTCAAATGAGAAAGCAATAGATGAGTTTGTTGAGTGTTGCTCGAACGGCCGGGCCGGCCTCAAACTACCAGACATTCTTATAAACAACGCCGCGATCTGCATTCCTGGAAGTGAAAGAGAAGTTCTCAAGCGGACAATGCAGGTTCTGAATGATTCATGACAGAGCTTTCAGTCAGTATATCTTTCTAGGTGAACGTTTTCGGCCCAGCGCGCCTCTCCAAACTCCTCATGCATGGCATGTCAGAAACAAGTAACGAGAATGCTCGAGGAGGAATCATAATCAACATTTCGAGTGGTGATGGGGAGCTTGCTTGTCTGAACAGGTAATGCTCCAGCATTTCGTTGTTGCATCGTGTTGATGAGCGCTAATTCCTGCTCTCAGCGAACTTCAACGACTCCTAAAGGAGGTCCAGTCCGAGAGCGACCTGGAAAGCCTTTTGAGGGAGCTATGGGAAGGAACTTGTCTGAGGGGACAAGAGCTGGTTGGATAGCCACAGGCAGCTGCTGGGTTTTCACTTGGCCCTACAGGCGTTCGGTCCAACTCCAGCCTACAGCGTGTCGAAGGCGGCACTGAATGTCTTGACAAGGATACAAGCAAGGGAGGTGGGGAGAGAAAGGGAGCAGGCAGGGAGTAACCCTTGATACCAGATTGAGATGAGCCAGCTGAAGCTCCGGGCTGTCGCTGTCTGCCCGGGGGACGTGGACACACGGATGTGCTCGGCAGGAGAGGGAGACAGAGTCTTGACGCCCGCGCAGGCCGCAGGTGAGATAGCCGGGTTCCCCTCAGGGTCTCAGTCTCATGCAGGCGACGTGATCTGGGCGATCGAAAGGCCGTCGGAATGTCCCAGCGGAGGATTCTATCGTGAGCGAGAGCCGATTCCATGGTAGCAGTGTCGGACTTTCCCTACCGACACGTGCGAGATCACAAGACCCATCAGGTTGAGGTTGCTTCAGCTGTCTGCTAGTCGAACATCTCAAATATCGTCCACCGGCAATGCGGAAGCATGTTCGCGCCGCTTCTCTTCGCTCACTGAGCTGCTCGTCGTCTCATTCCTGCGCTGCGTCATCTTCCCAGGAAGCAACGGGAATGGCGGGACGTACCATTTCGGGGAAGTTCGCGAAGAACCTTTGTGGTTGATCCACCTGTCCATCTTAGTCTGAAATCTACATGTCAAACACAAGGTCGGAGAAGCAAACAGAAGAAAGCTTGACCACGGAGGGTGTTGAAAAGGCCTCACTGGCTGTTGGAGAGTGTCAGACGAATTCCTGAAAAGACGTGACAATGAAACCTGTGCCCTCTCGTGTGTTTGAAATCTTCTCGCACACAGCAGCTTCCAACATCTGAACACGGATCATCAGTATTAGCTTTTCATCCCTCAACGCCTTTGATCATGAGATTGACACCATCCATGCTTGCACATTCTCGTTGATAATTTTATCCAAAGATTCGATTTTTCGATTTGCTTGCCTGCGAGAATGAGTTTACTTGAGGAAAACAATTTGCTGCCCGCGTACTTCAGCATGTTTTCAGCAGATAATCTCAACGCTCTTTCTGCCTGAACTTCTTGTTGGAGGCGTCGGATGTAATTTACATCTCTGCAAGGTTTGATCTCAGACTCTTTGAAGCCTTCCAGAAGAAGGTTCAACTTGTCGTTTTCTTTATCGCGATGGCTTTCAATCGCCTTTGCTCTGTATCCGATAGTCGTTCAGGACATTAAAAGGCAGTCAATAGCACTTGTACCTCTCTTCCGCCTGTCCTGATTTCTCACGCTCCACCGTCAGCTCTTGCTCCTGACCCGACTCAGTCATCCACTCTGACAATTCAACATGAAAATCACCTTCTCCAAAAGTCTAGCTTGCAGCTGGGCAACTTGACTTTTGAGTCTTCGAATCTGTACTCTTGTCATCGCAATCAATCAATTTCCCCACGTCAAACTTGTTCTCGCTGAGCCCAAGGCATTCTTCGAGTCTCTGCACTGGAGGGGCCCGACGACTCAGTCTGGCCCCTCACTTGCCCTGCATCCGCTGCCCCATCTTGTCCTCCCACCACCTCTTTAGTCGAGGAGGTTTGAAAGTTCGTCGGCGTCGATGGAGGGGCCTGTTTACCACTCGATGCACTGTGCGCGTACAACTTACTACTGGAGGCTGTTGTTGGAAAGATTTTCAGATTTTTGAAGTCATTAAATCCGTCCATACCAAAGTCTCCAACGGAACCAATGTTCTGTGATGATTTTTGTGATGACAATATGCTGTCAGCCTCGGAGCGTTCAGGAGCTTGCGAATGACTCTTGTACCCTTCTAGCTGGCCATGTGTTGCTTGTAAGTTCGACTCACAAGTCGCAAACTTGTCCTTTCCCTCGAGTTGATGGCTCTCATCCTAGACAGAAGACTTGTTAGAAGCACGTAGTGGTGAGATGAAATTGATCATCCATTACTTCGTCCTCGCTATCCACTTCCCACACGTTTTTAAGCAACTGATAGAGAAGCATCAGGCCATGAAGCGAAAATGAAGAGATGAAATGCCTGAAACGGACTTCGAGAAAGATCCTTTTTGTTGCTGTCGCTGTCTATCTCCACGTTTCTTTGTTTTGGTGAAATTTGCTTGCTGGGAGTATGCTTAGCTTCCTTGGAATTTAAGTTCGCCCGATGTGGACGGGGTGAAGGCGTCCTACTCACATCGCTGAGCATTCGCGAGAACAAATCGCTCGATCACCTCTCGTCAGTCAGATTTGCTTGACATTCATCAGCGTCACTCTTGCAAGGCAGCTTGTGATTCTTGGGTGTCCCAAAGTCATTCATTTCTCCGGCAGGTTCCTGACCATCTCGATCCGCAGCACTGCTGGTGAGAGAAGGATATGCTGGCTGGCTTCCTCTGGATGAGAATTGAGTCTTCGGGCCCGAAGGAGATTTGCTGTAAACAGTTGAGTGACCCACCAGAGGGTAAGGAGAGACGATGATCACCTGACATCGCTGCTGCACGAGTATGGACTCCCTCCGCCTGAATTTTCAGACGACGGATCCGTGACTTCTTTACTTGAAACCACTGGCATATTTACAGATTCTGATGATTTGCAACAGATCACACGGCACAGTCAGTCAACCTAGTCTGTCAGATGCTGCAACAACTCTCTCGAACCTTTGGCTTGCTGCCTGTTGAAGCGTATGGTAACTCGTATTGCAGACTTGCCCACAGGGTTCTCATCCTCGTCGTACAGCTGCGTGAGGTGAGAATGGATACATGGAGCATGCAGACAGCAAGAACAACCTCAAACCATCCAGCAACCCAGGCTTGATCTTGCAACTCAGAGACGTGAATCAAGCGGATCTTCCCATGGTTTACCTGACATTCACCGTCACCGCAAATCGATCATGAGGATCACTGGAGATACAGTTTCCCCATTCTCCGACACTCCGACGAGTTCGATACGAATGCAGGTCCACTTTACAAGGTCCTGCCAGCAGCAGATGCTCTCAACCTCTATCCGCTACCTGCACAACCAACCTCCTCTATCCCAAAGATCAACCGTTCCTTCCACTTGGGGGAGACCGATCCTCGAACGATCTGCAAGTTTCATGAGCAGAAGGTAGAGGAACGATGATGTCCTACCTTGGTATCAGACGATACGGGCTCTATTCCCGGAGCTATGAGAGAAACTCGGCAACAACTGTCGTCACACCATCTCAATTAGGAAGGATGATGCGAACCGGAGATCGCAGAACCGAACCTGTTGGGCAGCGGATCCCCCGGAAGGAGAGGTACTTCACGAGCCTCAACACAAGTTACCGCAACTTGACAAGAAGCACTCGTCTCTTTCGAGCGCGATGCTTTGTTTCCAGAAGAATTCTCCGCCTTTTTGCTCACTTCCCATTTCTTCGAAGGTTGATTGGTTTCTTCGGAGTCAGAAACTTTCTGTTGGGTGCAACTCAATCAGACAGAAGGCACGATTAGCTTTGGTTCCACAACAACCTGGTGAAACAACTTGATCTTGTCCAGAACAGACCTCTTCGGGGTAGAGTCGGGCGAAATGTAGCCAGGTTCCCCAGGCTGGAACTCTTGATTTTCTTGATGTCTTTGCATCATGCTGTCCTCAGGATTTTTGGTTGCAAGCTCTTTCAAAAAGAAGGAACTCCTCTCCTTGCTCTCTCGCTCCCTCCTCCTTGGCTACCCTTGGAATGAAATCCTTTGTCGTGCATTCCCCGCCCCTGGCTCTGGTCACTCCTGATGAGGTGATAAATCCTTAAGCTAAAGATTATTTTTTCTCATTTAGCTATCCAACGTCATGGTTGATATATTACAGTAACTTCACTACTATCTTATTAAAATACCTATGAGTAATTTGGTGTCTCTCAGAAGTGTTTATTTCCAGCCTCTGGAGGGGACTTGATTCTTAGATATAAAATGGCGAAACTCAGGAAGAGGGGCGGGGATAGAAGGGAGGAGACGGGGGACAGGCAGGAGGGAAGTGACAGACGAGATTCTTTGTTCAAGTTTCATCGGGTTGGAGTTCTGAGCTGCAAGAACAACATTCTCTTCGGCGCAACTTTACCTCAACTCCTAGGGATCCTGATCAGGTGATGGATGGTTGGGGAAGGAAACTATGTAGCGTCTTAGCAAAACTTGTTCTTTCCAGGAACAGGAAGTATGTCGAATGGTTCAAGTATGGCGTCAGAATATGTTGTTTGCTGATGTTTGCGATTTTCAACACCATCTTGTCAGTTCTCGAAAGCATCAGGCACAAGTTTGCAATTTCTCAGGTCCAATTGAACGATGAGCCGATATTCGTCATCGGCCACCCACGTACCGGTCTTCTTGTGAAGGAATAGTTTTTCCAGCTAACAGTTTTGGTTGTACAGGCACAACTCTTGTGCACAATGTGTTGTCGTCAGATGCGCGTTTCTCGTTTGCCACCAACTTGCAAGTTGGGTTCCCGTCAACTTTCATCTTGATGTCGAACTTTCAGGTTTGTTGTCTCTCAGCGGTGGAGACATTCTCACATGCCTCTTTCACTAGTGGCTGCTCAGTTTCTTTGTCGACAAGAAGAGGTCTTCCTGCATCTCAGCCTCCGTTCCTCTAAATCGCTTCAGGCCGATGGACAACATGGAACTGAGTCTTGATCTGCCTGGTAGCTTGATTTCAAACGCAAACGCAAGTGTTTGTTGACAAGACTGAGAAGGCGAGGACGAGATTGCAACGACCTTGTTATCCGGAGGTTTGAACTGAAGTCTTATGGACAGCGAAGTAACACTGGTGGGCAGGGTGTAGCGCGTACATGCCACTGTTCTTCATGTCGCAATACAAGGTGATAGGACAGAGTACTGGAGTTGGAGGTCATCATTCAATTGGCAGACTTACCTGGATCTTTTGAATCTAAACACCACGAAGGAAAGATTGGATGTACTTAGTTGTTTGAACCAAAGATTTCGCGGCAGCACCTGATCTAACAGCAGACCTGGACAGCGTCGTTTCTTTTCTTTCTTAAGAAGATAACATACTGGTTTCATCATCACAATCTGTTCCAATTTGAACTTTCATTAGGAATGATCGCAGCCTTGCTAAGCAATCAGCCCATCGTCGGCTGATAATCAAATCACCCGTTCACACATCGCGGGTTGATATCCTACCAAATATGTCTACCAGCCTCTCTGATTTCCTCTCTTCTTCTTGCCAGATACCAACCCTGTTGCGTCTCTTCCCGAAGGCAAGTTGTGATGTTGGAGGGTATCAAGACTCTGATGCACTCATGCTCGTTGTTGTTTGCTCCTCCCCAGGCAAAGTTTATCTTCTGCTACCGGGACCCATACACGGTCGTTCAATCTGCAGTGCACATGGCTCAATCCTACTACTGGTGATGATCTGATCGCAGACCCCCTGGCCAGACGGCCTGAATTATTGACTCGACAGGTACACTTACCTGAACGAACCCAGTGATGCAGATATCAGCGACTTCGTTCTTGACCAGATGGAGATCATGTGAGGAGTATAGATGGCCCCTTGCACTCTGACACAAGGTCAAAGATACAGAGAATACTTCAAACATCGGAATCTGATACCCAAAGGAAATTTGGTACCTCAATTGTGTCTTCTCGATCCTCTCCTTGATGTGAGGGAAGGTGGAGATAAAGTTCGAAGAGATGGAAAACGACATCATAAAAACGTCACTGCTCATCCAACTTCCGCTGCCTACGGTCTTTCTGACGTATCTTCACTCAGAATGGAGTCAATCTATGATCAATTCTCGCTGGGAGATATCAAGAATCTTACTGAGGCGAATACACACTCCTGCACCTGCCGCTCGCTGACATCTTTTGACCAGAGTGCCATGTTCAAGAAATATCGAGAAGGGATGACGGACTTCAAGAAGAACAGCCTGTCGGTAATGACATCTATGGCAGACTTGATTGGCGGCCTGACTGTGAGTGACGTTCGCAAGCGATTGAATGAGGAGCAGAAAGAAGCAGTGAAGAAACGATTTGCCTTTATCTTTGAAACCTTGAACTATCAGATGTGATAAATTTTCGACGTTGTGGTGTTGAAAGGCAATTCGAACTTGACCTGTCATGTCGAAAGTCTTATGACGGTGACCTGACCAGCACATAGGGAGATTGGTTGATCAGATTCGATACCACCGAGCCCGCCTGTCCATTTGTCTGAGGCGGACTCTTTCTCTCTATATCGGGAGTCCGGTTGCTACCGAACGTCCGGTTCCTGCTCCTGCTCCTGTTTCCTGCTCCTGCTCCTGCTCCTGCTCCTGCTCCTGCTCCTGCTCCTGCTCCTGCTCCTGCTCCTGCTCCTGCTCCTGCTCCTGCTCCTGCTCCTGCTCCTGCTATAGCTTCTTGGTCTTAGGTCGTTTCGCCTCTAGCTCACCCTAGCTCTACTGCTTGTTCCCTATCGTCATCACCCGAGTCGTTTCACTTGGCAGAGTCTTGTATCCATTCTCTCTTCAGTCAAAGCTGCAATGCGATTTTTAGCGAAGAAGCGCAAGAAAAAAGATAAAGACAAAGTAAGTCAAAACTTCTGTGAGCTGACCTTGTTGTCTCACTATTCTTCTTTCACACAGGCATCGAAGGATGACAATGAAAATGGGGGCATGGAAAACTCTCAGTCGAAATGTATTTCTTTTAAGGTTCATTCAAATGCTGAAAGCTCCCAGATTACGAACCACACTTAGCGTCTATAGGGAGACCATTCGAGTAAGGATTTAGAGTCGTGCTTCATACTCTGCTAATCATGTTGCCTAGATGCTCCTCGGGAAAGGATTGTTGGTGCGCGGGGGTAAGCGACCACCACTGAGCAGCAAGTGAAGCAAGCTGAACCAGCTTCTCCAGGGGCTGTTACCCAACGACAAGAAGTTCGACCTCGTGAGGCCATCGCTCTCTCCTCTCCTTTCCTCACTTTGACTGTCAGAGTGGCGCCAACGCCTGCCTGCTGGAGGCGTCCTTCAGAAACACGCTGATCAAGGAACTTCAAGGGTCCCATAAGAAGGTGAAAATCTGCGGAAAGCACAGAAGCGAGACAAGGGACTGACATGCTTGACTGAGGTGATCCAACATCTGCTGGACAATAACGCCAACGTCAACGTCTTCGATCGAGTAACGGACACCTCCTCCTTTGACGGGAGTTTGACTGGACTGTTCAGACTGGAATCACACCACTCCACTATGCCGCCCGTAACTTGAACAAGAAGTCGATCAAACTCTTGCTTGAGGCGAAAGCGGTGAGTGGATTGATTGCGAAGAAGGGTTGTTGAATCTTCGACATCAGAATCCCATGATTGTTGATATCCATGGCAACACACCGCTGCATTTTGCCGCCATGGCCTCTTACTCCAACAGGCAGAAAGGGAAGGATGCAATTCGTGCACTGGTGAGTGCCAAGAAGAAATTGGCCAAGTGTGAGAACTAGTGAGAACTGAAGGATTCTTGAAAAGTGCTTCTCAGTCTTGTTGTAGTTCAGGCAAGACTGCACAAGACCTGATTGTCGAACCTGCCGAAGAGTTCTACAAAAGGTTGATCCCTACAAGATGTTTTCCTTGACTGACCTGCTCATTCAACAGCAGCAAAGAAATGTTGGAAAACTCAAGAAGTGACGCTGTTAGAGTGAGTATAGTCTGGTAACTCCAAGGCCCTCTGATCTCTTGCATCAGAGTAAGATCCAGGAAGCTGTAGCTCTGACTGAGGAAGTCACTAAGTTTGCAAGGTTGCATCTTAACCCTTCGAAATAGCCAAGTAAATCGTGTCGATTTGAGCCACGAGCTTGTAAGTTAGCTGAAAAAAATTCACATAGCCATCTGAATGTTCAGATTGCGATCTGCAACATAGACGACTGCAAGCAATGTCAGCACCTCTCTTCACAAATCAACACGTATGCAACTCTAACCTTCTTCTTCTTGTCTGTTCCTTCCACTTTATCTTTCGCAAGTTGAGCACACCGCATGGGGAAATCTTTCGGCAAACTCGCCCAAGTTTTCTTGTCAGCCTCGAAATGCATGAAGTATTTTGCACAAAATTCATCAACGTAGAGATCCCAGTCTGCTTCTAGAAATCTGTAGTTGAAGTCACATTCTGTGCACACTTGCTTGAGATTTCCGTCAACTCCATGGAGACCCTCCTTGTGCTCCTCCAGCCACTCCAGGTACTTACTCTTCGTCGCGTTTCTGAGTTTCAACTTGCGCGAGTATGTGCGATACGCCGCAAAGATCACTCCGCAGCATATCAGAGCACACGCGGAACAAAGTGGAACCACGACGAAAGCGACGATCTTGACGACTTTCTGGACAGGGAAAGGCTTGGGAGTGGTCATGGTAACATTCTCTATGATGATAGGGGCGGTGGTAACGACTTGGTTAACGACGACGCAGATGATCTCGATGCCGCATCGATACAAGGCAGAGCTGACCAGTGATACAGACCCAGTCAGACCCGCAGAGCGAATCTGCTGAGTGAGAGTGCCAGAGGAGATGGTCTTCTTGAGCTCGCTCAGGACCTGGACTGCTTCACTGTTCGAGTTCGCTAGGATGCGCAAGGAGATGGTTTGATACGCTCGAGCCTTTCCATTCCTTACAAAGCGGTCCAGCGCTCCCTGGAGCATGGCAGCAGAAGTTTCCCTGTCGATAAGAGAACGTGAGGACTGGGTTGTCGATTCTACGATCACATATGACAACATCAGACCCAAGCTGAGAGCGAGAGACGATCTGATCTTTTGCACCTGCAGGTCTGTCAAGAGACCTCCTTGATATTGAATCGTTGTGATGATATGATCCATCAAATTCGGGTTCTTCAGTTCGATTTGCAATTGAAATCCCTTGTTCAAGCTTTGCTGGAATTGTAGCCCATTGTTGGTGTATCGTTCCAAGCGTATCAGAAAATTGCAGTTTTGTGTGTAGAAAATCATTTTTGAGGAGAAGGGCTGCCCGTCGCCAGTGTAAAGGTACTCGAAGTTGTTGTCAACAACAGCGCCGATCAACAAGGCGTCTGTGGAGTCCCCGTCATAAACTCGAACGACATCTGTCTTCATCGAGATATCAAACCCTGTGAACTGTACCTTGATGAGCATATCAGGCGACTTTGAAGGTTGAATGATGAAGTTGCACGACGTCTTGTTCAAGTAGATGTTGTCATAGTTGAAGATCCAGTACCCGTCAGCTGGATAACTTCCTGTTGTAACGATGGTCTGGACACCCGAGCAGGGCAGCACCTGGGCTCCGAGAACGCCGTTGACAAGTGCACTTGACGTAGCCACGTTGATGCTGCCGAGAGATGCTGTGAGCCCTGGGAACACAGGAGGAGAATTTCCTGCTGGATTCGTTGCGTGAAGGCAAAGAGCTATCATGTTCTGATATCTTCCGTTGAGGTATGAAAGAGCGGAATGTTTCCAAAACTCTTCTGGTCTTGGTGACATTGTGAGCACGAGGCTGTTTGTAGATGGAACAAAGACGAGTCTGGGAGAACGAGTGTCGAAGGCGTAACTGAGAAAGAGATCTATCGCAACATTAGTGTCCAATCCGGGTGCCTCGACCAGCAGCTTCGCTTTCGAAGACGAAACACAAGGACTGACGATATCGGTCACATTGACAATGTAACTTCCAATACATGTCTCAGCCTGATACTGGTACGAAACAGGTTGGTCACAAAAGTGAATCGCCTTGATCGCTGCCGCTAAAGTGCAAGACAAGTTCAGAGTCATATGTGCATCTGTCAGGAAAGTCCCGTTGGGAGGCTTCAGGTCAAGGTAGGAAGCACAAAGATCTCGGCCCGAGCAAATGAAAGACCTCTGAATAACTCGGTCACATGAGTACAAGCGAACTGCAGTAGAGGCTGGGTGAAAGTCGAGGGAAGACTGTGGAATCCCGGAGACTGTCAACGTGACTGTCGGAGATGTCAACTTGATGTTCGACTCGAAGAAGAACTGCAAGCTATTCTTGCTTCCACTCACATAATCCTGCAAATAAGACAAAAGAAGTCAGTCTGAACCAACGAATGCAAGTGTCAATCAAGCTAAGGATTACAGCTTTTCGAGACCAGATCGTGACTGTCTTACCTGAGATGCGACATTCCATGATGAGATCGTGAGATCTCTCGATGCGCCCAGGATCCCCTGACAGTTCAACGAGCTTGCGCATACAAAAGTCTGCACAGCAAAGGCAAGGCTGGTCCCGGCATGAGCTGCAGTCCATTGCGGAACGAGCTTGTTTTGGGCTGATGCGGGATTCGTCAAGACAAAAGAAAACAGCAAGGGGTCGGTCTCGAGGGCAGGAAGGTACGTCACAGTCAGCTTCAGGTTTCCGGTGGCGGCGTCCCATTCCGCGTACCTTGACAGTCGGTTGCCTGAGACAGCTATCTTGCCGCTCGTCGTTGACGACCCAGTGAGACCCATAACTGTGATGGTCATGTCTGATGGAAACTTGTACCTCAACGACTCCAGTGACACTGAGATGGTGTTGGAAAGTCCTTTGAAGTCAGTGGACTCAGCGATGGTGAGAGATTCGATGGTCGCCATTCCATTCGCCTTCAGCACTTGTCCTGTCACGATGCTCCGTAGAGGGCTGGGCTCGTTGGCGGCGGTACAGCCGGGCTGTAGCTGATCCTCGCATATCCCGATAGCCTTGAGGTCTCCAGTGTTTCCGGTGATGGTAAGGGTGGGGGACACTGTCGATGGCTGAGGGTTCTTGACTCGGAAGGAAAACTTGAGGGTGTTCTGGTTGATGAAGCCGCTCACCGCCTTGTTTCCTGCTATCGTGACGATCTGCGACGCAGTGTCCCATGTTGCATATTCCTTAGTGACATTTGACCGCACAAGAACGCGAGCGTGAACGTTTTCGTCGTTGGAGGAGATCTGAAGGTCGAATCCCTGAGGTGACTGCGAGCTGCAGGAAGAGCTGGCAGAGAGGAAAGGAACAATGTCAAGGTTTGTGAAAGCCTTGCACCAACCGTTGAGACAATTAGGATACTGGCTGCAAGGGAAGTTGAAAATTGAATCTGTGATATCATTGCAGGCCGCCCTGACTGATTTCAAAACAACATCCGACGATGACTTGCAATAAATCTCCAAGTCTGCTTTTGCCTCCAAAAGAATGCTGTCACTGGACACAAGCCCTGCCCCAACAGAGCGACAGGTGAAGCTTGAGCTGTTCTGAGTACAATTCACCTCCTTCAGCAGCCCTTGTTCACCTCCCATCACAGGCAACTTTCCAGAAGAGTCGGCAATGCGCAGACCTTTCAATGTCAACGACACTGTGTTGATATCCTGCAGCAAGGAATCATTTCAACGAACATAAAACACGTTCAAATCACCAGGATCTTGAAGTTTGCAACTAGACTGAGAGTGAGGATGTTGTAAGAGTTTGGAATCGTCGACGACTCTGTGATAACCCTTGTAACGAATTCGGGAGAGGATGGGTTTGAGAATCCCTTCAAGCTCCCTATCATCGTTTCACTCAGGTTGAATCGATTGTTCAGACTCAGGCTGAGCGTCAGGGTATTTTCAATCTGCATTCTCACACATCTCTGACTTCCAATGCGCTCGAACAAGCGTGAGGGATCGATCGCAGGATTGAAAATGCTGGCAAAGAAAGAAAAGGAGTTAGAATAGCGATCATAGTACAGCACATGACAAGGAGGGGTTGCAAATGAAAATTTCAAGGGAAATGAGAAGGAATGAATTGAATGACAAAGAGAGGATTTCAAGAATTAGCCAGAAAGACATGACTTACCCAGTGCACATCGAGTGGCTCGTACAGATGCTGCCAGTATTGGGGGCGACACAGTTTCCAGAGTCAAGGCACTGACCTCCTCCCGTGCACGTTGCCCCCTTCAATTCCACAGGTCCGTTCCCCGAGTCAAAGACGTTGGTTGCGTACCCGTACGGGTAGGCGGCGAGAGGAGGAGGCCCTCCCGTTCCCTTCGAGGAGAGCAGGCTGGTCACAGGGCACTGACTCCCTGTGTTGGGAGGAGCGCAGATCTGAGCGACGCATATGTTGTTGCCGTTCTTGCACTGTCCTGCGCACAAGCCACCGACTGACGTGCAGTACTGGCCCTGGTTGACCCCTGCCGAGCAGTACGGGGAGCCCAGGGCGCATCTGGAGAGGGGTAGCGACTGCATGTTCCGCAACGAGAACCGGATCGAGAGGCTGCGATTCGCCGGTACGACTCTCGTCACCACCAGGGTCAAAGTGCTGGCCTCCTGTCTCCACGTCGCCATTGAGTTGAACCACACGGCGTCCTCGCCCTCGAGGCTGATCGATCCGCTCGGCGTCGACGACCCGAACGGAGCGCCGAGTCCGCTGGAGAAGTTCCCGAGGACGAGGGAGGTGCCGACGATGAGGTCGAAGTTGAACCTGAGGCTTGCGACGATTAGGTTCATCTCTCCCAGCAGGCTGCTGGTCTCCTCGATCCTCCTCTCAAGGATGAAGGGGGCTGCGCCTGATCTCAGCACTTCTCCTCGAGCTGAAGTCCTCGGGAGCTCCACCCGACCGTTGGCATCGCACGACATGTCGCCCCTGAGGCTCAACAAGGCGGAGCAGCCGACAGCAGAGACTTGAGGGACGACAGCCTGCGGTCGGAGAGAGTTCCAGTTGATCACTGTGAAGCTGAAGCGAACGGTCTCAAACGCGCGATAACTTCTCGGAAGCAGAAAACTGATCTGCGAATCCACGACAAAACATGTGGTGTAGTTTCGCATCAGGGTCACCTGGTCATTGGCAGCAGAAACAACCAAGTCATTGACATTGATGGTCAACTGCCTCGTTGACACGTACGTCACAAGCCCTGTGCCAGCACCGCTTGCGAGGCTGTCTTGGCACTGCTTGACCAGCTCGAGGCTTTCATACCTTCCCGTCAGGTTCGACACATTGATCATAGTTCCCTGGTAACACAACGATCAAGAATTGAACAAGTCTTGGAAGGAAAGTTCTCACCTGGATCAGTGGGACGTTGGAAGCAAGCTGGAAACTTAGGGTGTTATCTTCCAACACAATGGAGGATGACTCTGCTACTGTGAGTGTAACGATCTTCGCTGTGTCTGCTGCCCGAAGAATGCTTCCAACCAATTTTTGTGTGCTCGATCCCGCAAACAACACTCGCACATCCTTTGGTTGCTGGATGGAAGCAGGATTCTTCAAGAGGAACTTGAGCAGGAGATCAGTCTTGTAGGCGTAGAGAGGATACGAAAGGGAGAAGGTCAGTGACCCGCTCCCGTCCCATTGCCCGGAGATTGATTGATTGCTTGCTAGCATGGGGAAGTTTGCATTGGCCGGTGAGGGCGACCCGAGGTCCAACAAGGTGATCTTGGTGTCAGGGAAAACCATCACGTTAGGAACGAGCTCGATGGTGATGAGATTGTCTTGGGATGACACGTTGGAACTCTCAGACACTGTCAGCACAGCAAAACCAGGAGACTCCAGGGCTTGAAGGAGGTGAGGAGGAGAGACGGTGAACGGGACTGCTGACGTGAAGGGCTGAGATATAGCAGGCCCTGAGGCCCCCAGAAGGTCGCAGATCTTCCTGCCGCAGCTCCCGACGCTGTCGGAGTAAACTCCGCTGATGTTGAGGTTGAAGGGAGAGCTTGCCGGTGATTGGAAGTTTGTCACGGCGAAGGAGAAAGAGAACGAAGGGCTAGCCTCTCCGTTCAGCGGGTTGATAGCCTTGAATGTCAGCGTCCCCGTATCCTTGCTCCACGAGAGCGCTTGCAAGTTCGCGTTCGAGTTGTCGTATATGATGTCACTGTACAAGACATCCACGTTCACAAGGCCGAGCAAGTTCAACAAGCTGCCGGCCCTGACCTCGAAGTTGGGCATCACATTCACAGTGATCAAGTTCTTCTGACCGACCACACCAGATCCCTGCGATACGGATGCGTTGACAAGTCCAGGGTAGCGGTCGACATTGAGGACGTCGGCTGCCTGCTGACATACCCCGGGGTCTTGAGCATTCATCACCTTGCAGAGAGTTTGCGATGCGAAGGCTGGAGACACCGAAAGGGTCAGAGGTGAAGTCAAAGGACGCAAGTCATTCATGTTGACAAACTCCATGGTTGCCGTCACTCTCAGACCTCTTGACCATGCGGCGGTCAAAGTGAAGGTGACCTCTCCGCATGGGTTCGGCTGATCCGCGCAGAGGTTCTGCCACGTGAAGGTGGTGGAGAGGATCCCAGAGGGCGAGACAGGAACGAGAGTTTGAGAGCTCGACGTTGGTCCGTTGAAGCCCTTGATAGTGACCTGCTGACCCTTTGCAAGATCCACAGCTGCAGTGAGGGTGACGGAAATCAAGTTCCTCGCCCCAGCCATGCTCGAGGTCTGACCGACGAGAGTCTCTGAGAATGCGAGCACAATGGAGGGACTTGTCTGAGATGACGAACTGCCTGAAGGCTGAGAAGTCAAGTTCACGAACCTCAACGGTGTTTCAGGAATGTTTTGAAATCCCTTGGGATCACGTAAGCTAGCAGTGAAGTAGTTTCTCGACTGGATGCCTGTTTTCAGAAAGCTAGCTGAAATTTTGATCTCCCGATATGCTGGAGAGTTGGAGATGGCAAAGACGCTGATGTTCTTATTCGCCGCGTCCCAATAGCCGTAGGACATGAGGAACGGTGGGAAGTCAAGGAAGGTCACGATGGAGCCGCCCGAGGGAGGGCTTGTGATGTTTGAGATGGTAAGTTGACTGCACTGACTCTGCCGACAAGACAGGAACTCAACTTCTTGCAGCAGCGAGTATGTGCATGAGGCGAAGTTGTCTTGAGGTGAGATCGGTAGGATCCGGAACTGCCTTGCCACGATCGGAGGTGAAGCAAAGGAGCTGACGTTGGACGACAAAGTCGGTGCGATGTGAAACGTTAGACCCAGCCTCCATGTTCCTGTGGACTGGTCGAGATAGTACAGCTCCGCATCCTTGAGCGCGCAGACGTCGACCGTGCGGATGTAGACGGTAAACTGCTCTAGGAGGTAGTTCTCCCCGAAGTCAAGGTCGATGGCTTTGCCTCGAGCGACTTTCGTGCCGTCCACTGTGCCCTTGAGCCCATCGAACAGGTACTGATTCCCTTCCGGAGGCGTCGCGCCCACGATCCACGAAGTCTGCCCGCTCCTCACCGTTGAAGTACATCTGGTCAGTCCCACACTGGTCAGGATGGAGATCTGGTCGGTGACGTTGTTCGACGAGCTGTCGGCTGTTGGAGAAAGCTGAGTGAAGGTTCCGATCAAACTGGCTGGTTGAGATCCTCGCAGCACGTCGCCTGCTCCTGCAACGTCACATGCTGTTATGAGGGCAGCCCCTTGCGCGTTCAGCAGCGAGGCCCTGAGGGCCCTTGGCGGAGACGGGACGGAAGGATTCTTCACTTGCACTCGAAGCATGAGCGAGTTGTGTTGGCAGCTTGAGAGCGAGGAGGAGCAGCAAGGGTCAAAGAGCGACTCTGACATCTGAACCCGCAAATTGTTTTGAGCATCCCACTGTGCCAACCCCGATGACAGCGATGGGGGCAGGATGTTGGGGTTCTCCAGGGAGCGGGCCTGATCAAGTCCGGAGATGAGGAGAGTGCTTGTAAGAGGAATCTCGATGTTGGTTCTGAAGAAAAACTCAAGGATGTTCTCCTCTCCAACAACAGCTGTCTTCTCGGTGACTGACGCGTTGAGGAAGACTGCGACGCCGGAGAAGGTCAGGCAGCAGGAGTCGGCAGTGCGGACAGCTGTGGATGGGATGGCGATGGTCTCCTGGAGGGGGCTGGATCCAGACAAGGAGACCTGCGTCTCGGGGGTCAGGGGAGTCAGGGAGGAGGAAGACACTGCCGTTACCTGCGGCCTTGCAGGCAGCTGCAACGTCATCCCGTTGAGGATCTGAATCTGAATCGTCAGGGTGGAGTTTTGCGTCAGAGCCACGGGGATTCGGAACGTTACTGTCCCGCTCGCCCTGGTCCACGTCCCGACGGTGTTGAGGCCATGGATGTTGAGGGACGTCGAGTCAGGGGTCGCGGTACCTGAGATGCCTGAGATCTGTCGCGAGGCAGGTCAAACCTCTCCGTCACTGCACCTCAACGACGTACCGTCATGCCTGACCCGGCCTCCACGTCCACGTTGGGTCGAATCTGGAACGTGAGAGTGTTTGGCTGCCCAGCCACCGTGCTGGACTCCGACAGCTCGACCAGACTCCAGCTGTAAACCTGCTGGAACGTCAGGGAGGAGAAGGGCACAGGCTCTTCTCACGTCTCCTCCATTGAGAATTGAACTTCGAGCTAGGGTAGGGTCTTGCGCTCCCTTCCACTTGAGGAAGCCCTCGTTCCATACAGCAAGCGGGTCCTTCAACACCGAGTTTGCGATGGAGGGAGTGGACGCCAGCAGCTCGACAGGACTCAACGGACTCTTGGGGTTGTAGACCACGAAGCTGAACCTGATTTCTTGCTTCGCAGGCAAAGTGAACCTCGGAGTCAAGACAAGAGACTTGGTCGCCTTGGTGTACAGGCCAACCGCCTCCAGCACTGAGCTTGTGATTCCAACTGAAGTACCGGAGATGGACGGGAAGGTCACATCAAGATTGGATATGGTAATCTTGTCCGCAACCCGGATTCCGATGTTGGCGACCAATCTGACGTCTATCTTGTTCTGCGCTCCATCTATGGACGAGCTCTCAGTAACAGCAGCGATGAGGAACGCTGGTTCTTCACTTCCTGTCAAGACCGATCCCACTAGACTGGCCAAGGGCATGCTGAAGGTCTTGGAGGCAGAGACGTATACTGCTCCCACCGTGAGATTCGCGGGGGCGCTTGTCTTGGAAGGATTCGTAACTTGCAGGTCAAACTGGAAGGGTTCGGAGTCCATCACACTCGCGTTTGTGAGAACGTGAACGGTCCCTTGCGAGTCAACTGAGATCGCGCGGATGGAAGAAGCGTTCAAACCGCCGCTGGACAGACTTCCTAGCTGACCGGAGGAAATGCCGACCACCGTTATGTCGGTGTTTGCCGGAAGTTGAACGGAGGCCACAAGTTTGAGGGTGACGGTGTTAACGGCGCCCCTGACCGACGAGGACTCGGAGATCGAGGTCTCTCGCCAGACAGGCTGGCTGGAGACGTTAAAGAGCTTGCAGGATGCGCAGAGATACGGCTGGGCCAAGTGATCGCAGGTCAAGCGCGGGTCAACCCCGCCGGGAGTGGAGAAGTAAGGGTTGCGGAACAGAAAGCTCAACTGAACCAGCTGGTTGAAGGGCTTGAAGGCCGAGGTTGCAACTTGAAACAGCAGCGAGGAGCTTGTCGAGTCCCAGACTGCTCGCCGCCCGAACAAGTCCGCGTCAGGTCCATCAAGCTGCACTTGACCATCCTGCCTCACTGGCGATCCAATAAGTCCCAAGACAGTCACGCGCAAGTTTGGACCCATGGGAAAGGAAAACTGAAACTGCATGCGCATGTTGCTGATCGCTCCCTGTATGAAGGAGGACTGCTGCATGAAGAAGGAGGAGGCAGCACCTGACGGTGACGACGACAGGGCTGATCCCGTCGGAGCGAAGACAGCGACGTCCTTGACTTTGGTGAAGCTGCTGGCAAGAGCCTGATAGACGGAGACCTTTAGGTTCTTCTGTACATTTTGCGGGGGGTTCAGTAGGGTAAAAGTAACGAGGAGGTAACGGTCCGCCGCCACGTCCTGCTGGAAGCTGATGCGCAAAGTTCCGGAAGCCCTCTGCCACTGTGCTGAGCTGGGAACAACCGAGCAAGTCCCGTCACTCGTCCAGGACTCGCTGTTGCCCAGGCAGACCTCAACCGAAGTCTGATCAGTCGGTGAGCTGACCAGCCCCGTGACCTCCACGTTGGTGGAGCGAGCTCGGAGTATTAGGTTGGTCCTGAGGAGTAGAGAGATGGTGGAGTTCTTGGAGGCTGACTGAGAGCTCTCGGCCACACTCGCGAGGCTGATGAGAGGAGCCTGATCGACCTTCTGCACTTGGCCGGAGGCTTCAAGCCAAGGGACGTTGAGGGCGTTCTTGCAGTAGCCGGAGACAAACACCTTCCTTGCTGGGGATAGTGCTGGGAGATTCTGTAGGTTGAAGGACAGAACAAGCCTCCGGTAGGCGGAGAACTTTTGCGGGAGAGCCAAGGAGAAGGAAAGATCGCTTGCGTGCCATATCGCTGTCGTCGACATAGCTGATGAGTCTGCTTGCAAGGTGACCGGGAAGGTGGACCCCGCGTCCGCAGCACCTCTTGTTAGTCCTGCGATCATCAGCTCGCATCCCCTGGGTAGGTTAAAGTTGGGCGAGAAGGCGATGGAGACCTGGTTGTTCTCTCCCGCCACTGTCGTCTCGTCCCAGACGAGCAGGTCCCGGAAGCTTGCCTCCTCGTTGTTCCCCAACGCAAACAAGCCAAGTTGCTGTGTGACTGAGAGCCGTGACCCTGGTGTCAAGATCACGATTGTGACTGGAGCAGGATCAACTTTGAGGGTGGGGCGAAGGAGATAGAACGAGATGAGCGACTGGGAGCCACTCTCTACAGGACGAGACAGAGTCAAAGTCACCGTCCCCGTGCTCTGCTTCCACCGTGCACTGCGGGTCTCCGAGGTCAAGTTGACCTGGAGGGAGTCAGAGTCTGACGTCCTGCTGTTGAGGAGCCCGATCATGGAGACGACGGTGCCTTGCGACATCTCGAAGTTGCAGCGGAGGATGAGCTGAACTCGCACGAGCCCCTCCAGGATCAGGTTGTCTTGCGAGAAGAGGGCCTCTTGTATCTTGGGCGGGGCGGCAGAGGAGAGAACTCCCACCTGAGAGGAGACGGCGTCCTGGGAGGTCGAGGACCTGACGGTAGCCGTTGGGAAGACGGCAGGCTGAGACACGGCAGCATTGAGGATTCTGAATCGAAACCCGAAGATGCTCATGGCTGGCACGTCGGCATCGAACACCAGCCTCATGGTCCCAGTTGCCCTCTCCCACTCCCCTCTCGGTTGGAAGACTCCGACGGCCGCCTCCTGGCAGGTTCGCTGCTTCCTAGCGTCTATGCTGCACTTGAGGCTGTGGATCGAGATGTTCTTCGCGTCCTCCGTCTGGCTGCCCAGTAGTCCAGTGATTCTCAGCTCATTTCCCTTAGACACCCTCCCGCTCAGCTGGAGGAGCCCTTGGAGAAGATTCTCCGACTGCGACACGTTGGTGCTCTCCTGCAAGTCAAACAGCTGGATCCTCGCAATCTCGGTGGCGAACGCTAGAGAGTCGTAGGAGTACTTGAGCTCCAGGTTCACCAACGCATCCAGCACGTTGCGGGAGCAACGAGCCTGCTGAACTAGAGCTGACAACGAGAGGACGACGACGAAGGAGGAAGGGCTCATGCATGGACCGCTGCCGTCGCAGAGGATGGGCAGGATGTTGACTGACTGCAGCACAGTCCTCCGGCGCGTGCAGTTGTTGGAGCAGCCCGACCACGGACCTGAAGTCCAGCTACTGAGGGTGCCCGAGCACTGGTAGTCCTTACAGATCCTCTTAGAGTCACAGCATCGGTTAAGGGTCTGATCCCAGTGATAGTCCGCCCCGTACTGGCTGCAATCGTCCGCCTTGCAGACTCCCACCCGCTCGACGTACTTACCTGCGTCCTCAAGGTCTGTGCAGAGAACCTCGAGGGAGAGGAGAGCAGCGTCGAGCCGAGCTGTAGGAGGGAGGAAGCGACAGTCCTGCAGAGACATGAGAGGCGGGAAGGAGGAGACAGCGAGAGACAGAGAGAGAGAGAGAGATAGAGAGGGAGGGAGGGAGGGAGGAAGGGAGGGAGGGAGGGAGGGAGGGAGGGAGAGAGAGGGAGAGAGAGAGGGGGAGAGAGAGAGAGGAGGGGGGGGGGGGGGGGGGGGGGGCCCCCGGGGGAAAACCCTGTGTTGGTGTATATAAAAAATGTTTATATGTTATATTTTTTATATTTTTTCTATGTTTTTTTTTTTTTTT